CCAAAATTCAAGAGTTCGCAAAGGAATTTGGCTTTGACATAATCAATTTGATGCCATATTACGCTCGAAGCCAATGGACATATGGAAGTGTGAAATAAAATCATTAAGCAGAACATTTAAAAGATAGTTAGCAATAATTCATGAAATTAGCATGAGTTGTTATAAAACACTTTATGAGCTCATTGAATTGGTTTTAAATAAAGTATTAGTACAAGTCCATATCGACTAACTTATAGATGCAATACGAGTATTAACATTCAAGATTGTAGCCCAATCCTTAAGAGTAGCAAGACAAAATGAAATATTTGTAATAGATTACACAGATTTCATGTTTGTTTAAATAGAATCTCTTGATTTAAAAAGAATCAAAACACTTAATAGGATTCATATTAAAAAATAGAGAATGACATGAATCTATAATCAAAAGGTTAAAAGCAAAAGCTTTTCTATTAGAGATTTAGTTAGAAAAGTTATACTTCTAATTAGAAAAGGAAGTCTTCTTGGCAAATGGTCCCCTAATTGACAAGGATTTTTTTTTTTTTTTTGAATTAAAGAAGTCTATTCTAGGAACGTTTATAGGTTAAAAAGCCTATAAGGAATCGAACATAGTAAATGTATTAATGACAAGTATTTAAAGTCATATATTCCTTAATTTGGGAGGCAAATAAAAAGGTTTTAGAATCTTGATTTCCAAAATTATGGCGAATGTATAAAGAATCTCAAGATTAAGTTTAAAGCTAAAAATAACCAAGTATTTCAAAGATGAAGTAAAAATGCTTTTTTATTTGAATAAATTAGAGTTTTTAATACCAAATTACTTCTTAGGTATCCTACTCTTAAGAATCTCTAAGAAGGTTGCAAGTGCTCTAACAAGGTTTGATCGACTACGCCTTTATGGACGACGAAATTAAGTCTCTACCATCTAATTAAATCTTCATCGACTTGAGCAATCTAGAAGTTTAAAGTAGCTCGAGCGAACTTTAACCATGCCAATCGTTGTTTTGCTTCTTTGATCTCTTTATCCGAGTTGGATTTTACTCTATTCTAAGTCAACCTGTTCCTTGCTCAAAATCGTAACGAGTTTTGGTTAGAGTCTCTCTTATAAAGACATGCCTATTTTCTTTAAGCAAGCCTTGTATCTATTTTTTTTATTTCAACACTTCAGCAATCATGTTCTTTGATACTTCAAACAAATCTTGTTCATATTCATCCAAAGAGAGAGTTGGAAAGAAACCGAGAAGATCGACGAAACTCACTCGATGAGAAAACCGAGTCTTCATAACCTTAAGAGACTTTGTTTTGATCAAGTGGGACACAATTTGAATTTATTGATCTAAAGCAATGCTTGGCTGAACAGGGGTCTCTATTGGCGTTTAGAACCTTGATGAAGGATCCGATTCTAGACTAACCTCCATAATAGGATTGTGGCTCGATTCACCCATTAAGCTTTTGTCCTCATCGTTGTTATGATTGGAACTCGGGTCTTCTAAGTAATTTTTTTTAGTATGTTACGCCAAAACTATTATAAGTGTTGCTTGATAGAGAATTAAGATAGTGGATGGTGCCTTAAGATGTTCATAGGTTGAAGCCATTAGAATTTTACTCGCCTAGCATCTTTTTAAGATTACCCTCTACTAGGTCAATCGAGATTTCACTAATAGGTGGTTCAAAAGCATTTGCTTGAATCAAGACTTCAACATGAGATTGATTTGATAATAAATCTTCAACCGGTACTAGCGACTCAATAAGTAGTAATATCTATCCAAGAGGTGAAAGCCGAACATCGATCGACATAAGCTAGTCAAAAGAAAGTTCAAAGAAAAAAAGAACAACAAAGTCTTTGATCGATACATGCTAGTCAAAAGAAAGTTTTGTATACCTATATGAGTGGATGAGCCTCCATTCCCGAATCCTTCTCAAAAAGAAAGTTGATAAAGGCTTCGGTATCTTATAAGACAATCAAACAAAATGAGTTTTATTGAGGCTTATGCTAGAGATAATTTCAAAAGAGGACATCAAACAAAATTCACCTTGTCTAGTTTGAGTTTAGTTGAATGGCACGATTACGTAAATAGATCGACCTCGGAGACTTTATCCTTTAGTTCTAAAGTCCGGCCAAAGATTTCTCGAAGAGGTGAAATTTTTTGATGAAAATCCTTCTTCGATCTTCTTAACTATGTCGAAACATAAATTGTTTCGACTTTAAAATGTAATAAGAATTTCGATACGGGGATTTTCAAATGAAAATTCTTATTCCCTCCTATACTATTACCACCTCTTACTCTTTTAGATATAGATCCTCAATATTTTGTGGGATTGCATGAAGTGGCTAAATATCTAACGAGCCCCTATCCTTCCACATAAAGAAAAAAAGAGGAACGAGAAAAAGTCTTCATGGTTCTTTGGCCCATTGAACCAATAAGTTTTGAAACCATTATAACAACCCTCTTTGTTGGTCATTTCATTACTTGCGTTAACTTTTCTTGTGTTGAATCTACCGAGGAAGGAGGCAAAACAATTTTTCTTTTCTTTGAATCGTCCTTCTTCGCTAGAGCTATTAAAAAGAAAATCAAGTTAGGAAATAGTCTTCAAACTACGATGCTAACGGGAAAGATGGAAAAGACTTACAAGTTTTTGTAGGTGATTCGATTTTAATTGATGGAGATTTTCTCGCTATCGACGTTCTACTAATGGCTTGAAATAATTTATGTTTGTCTGCAACAAAGAAATTATTATCCCAAAATTAAATGTTTAGGATGTCTCTTTACTCGTTTCAAATGTATTAATCATGTCCCTCTATTAATTTTTTCAACTATCGTATCCCTCTATTCTTTATTTACATTTGCATTTGGTCCATCCGATCATATTTTTAGGCACTTAGAGATAATTTTTTTCAAATATCTTAATTGTGTCCCTTTACTAATTTTTTCAACTATCGTGTCCCTCTACTCTTTATTTACATCTCCATTTGGTCCCTCCGATCATATTTTCGGGCACCAGAGATAATTTTTTATTAAGAATAATAGGATGCTGACACATGGTAATAATTTTTTTCCTCTCAATTTGTAATATTAGTAAAGATTTAAATAAAATAAAAAAACCCGATTTAAATAAAATAAAAAATCCCAAATTGCCCCTCCTTAAAAAACTCTAAATTTGCCTCTCCGATTATTACATAAAATATATATATATATATATATATTCCTTTTTAGGTTTCTGTTTTTGTGGATTCTCTCTCTGCAAGTGAAGAAATATCTAATCCAAAAAAATGGCGATTTCTTCTCTTTCAGCGTCAACAATTCCTTAATTGAATACTCCAAACTCTACTTCGAATTACTCTTCCAAATTATCTTCGTTTTCTTCTCTCCAGTTTCCAGCATAGCTTCGAAGACTTCAGTTTCAAAACAACGGGTTTCCTCTCACTCCAGGCCGTGAAATTTACCTCTAGTAACTTTTCTTTTCTTTTCTTTTTAGCTCTTTCTTTTTTGGGTTGAAATTGGTGAGATTTAAAGGTTTATTAGGGACTGCTATTAAGTGATTGCTATTTATTTATTTATTTTATGTTGGTTGGAATTTGTAGTTGTTAGGTTTGGCCGTCTGGGTAGCGTTAAAAGCTTCTTTGGTTTCTTGTGATTTCAGACGTTGTTCTTAATTCTTGGCCCCCGCTTCCCTCATAAAATTAACGAAGAAGAAGAAGAACTTGTAGGTTGCCTGACAAAAAAAAAAAAAAAAAACGATGAAGAAGAAGAATTGAGGGTTATGTTCTGACTTTCGATTATTACTTGAAGGCAGAAGAAGAAAGTAAATTAGAGTTAGATTAGAATTAGGATGAAAACATTTGGGATATAAGGGGTTTTTAAGAGGGGACAATTTGGGATTTTTTTTTATTTCATTTAAATCTTTTCTAATATTACAAATTGAAAGGAAAAAATTAATATCATGTGTCAGCATCTTATTATTTTTAATAAAAAAATTATCTCCGGTGCTTGAAAATATGATTGGATGGATCAGATGTAGATGCAAATAAAGAATAGAAGAATACGGTAGTTGAAAAATTTAATAAAGAAACACGGTTAAAACATTTGAAATAATAAAAGGATATTTTTGACCTTTAACCCAAGGATTAAGTTACAATTGGTTATGGATGAAAGAATAATTTACTCATTCATGAAATCAAACCAGTAGATAACACCCGATAGGATGAGATCATAGTAGCCTTGAGAGTTGAATAGTAGTAGCTATGGCCTCGCAAAACAAAAGAAAAGAGAAAAGAAACTGAAAAGGCACAAGTGGGCTGCCTTGTTCTTCTTCAATAAATGGTGCAGTACAAATAGAAAGAGACTTTAGATAAAAGGAAGGTGAGATCAAAAGAAAAGTGGTAATCACATCCACGAAAGCAAGCTCCACGGTTCAAACAAACAAAAGCTCTGGAGAGTAAGAGAGAAGAGTTAGTGGCTGTACTAACACGATTGAGTACAACATCTAACACTCCTTTCACCTTCAACCTAAGGCTTATGGTAGATGGACTACATATATATATTCTCAATTTCAGATAATGCATTGTATTTCTATATTTATCCCATGAGGGATATGTTCATTAAGAATTAGAAATCTCTTCTACTGATTTAATCAGTACTCCTGATGAATATGTGCATGTTGGGCTAATAAATGATGATGAGCGTCTATATTTGCTTGGCAAGGCATAAAGTTGCAGTTTCCTTTCTGTAAGGAGAGACTAATGAATTAAGTATCCAAGTTGTATCAATGATCGTATCAGGCCAACATGTATGAAAGATGGCAGGGGACTCTCATTTTTTATTAAACCAAACTACTTGGGTATCAGTTTCTACCTTAAGCAAAGCCAATTCTACATCCCTAGACAGATCGAGACCAAACAGAAACGTGAAATTACTTCGCACGAAATAATTCTAAAATGAAAAGCTGAGTGCTGATGGAATAAAACACCAATAAGGCAAAGGGGCCAGCTTAGAGAAAGAGGTTTAGAAGCACATGGGATGCAAAATATCAGTCAGCCCAGCATCCTCCCCAAATTTCTCGATTTCCCACTTGCTAGATGGATCTGTAGTACTCTTGTGGGTCACAAGAATTTCTCCATTCTCCTCTAACATCCCAAATCCAAATGCACTAATCAAGAATCCCTTCGCCAACCATTGATAACTCCTAAAATAGATGCATAGATATCAATGAGCACTTGAACATATTTCAAAGTCAAAAAACTTGCCAATGTGCCTTGTTATAAAGCTACAAGAGCAGATAGGTGTCCAGTTCTTGCCAATTTTTTTTTTCTAATTATTATTATAGGAAAGAGGTTCGAACTGGAGATCTTTTAGAAAAAGTGGAGTGTAGATGCTACAGGCTCATTTCCTTAGCCTTCTACTTTACGAACCAAAAGGAAAAACCTTGAAATTGCAGCACAGTCATGCATCAATCTCAGAGGCTTCAACCCAGCAATGGTTGCAGCATCCAAATATGCCCGTCTCTGCAAGTCTGTGAAATATGATGGTACCCCGATCACACGATCGGTGACATGAATTTCAAAATTTTTCTCTGCTATATCTTTCAGATCTGAAAACAGCATTGCCAATATCTGAACCGGGGTAAATGTATGTGTCTCGCCCAAATATTTCAAGTGAATCAAAATGCCTCCGTCCTTCCCTTCAGAAGTTTCAAATGGTAACATCTTCAGCTCATTTTGAACCTCAGGATCCTTAAAATTCTGACCGATCAATCTCTTCACTTGAAATATAGTCGATTTTGGGTTCATCAAAGCAGAAGCAGCACCTGCTGATCCAAGGAACCGCTGCTTCTACCCAAAACATACCACAGCCAGGGTTTCACGTTTTGATTCATCATTCAACAACACATCAACTCCCCGTTGTTTCACCACAGCAATAACACAGTTTTCATTACCAATATCAAACCCAACCACACTCATTTCAGTTCACCAACACCTTGCACTGTTAAATAGCAACAATTATATCACAACCCCGCAAAGAAATCACTTAAATTACCAAATCCCTTAAAATACCCTATAGGCCCCCACCAGAAAAGCTACAAAAAACATCAAATAAACAAATAAAACTGTCTCCTAAGAAACAAAAGTTAGTGCTTAGCAAGCTAACAAATAGAGCAGACAAAATATGACTTCACTAAAATCAAAGCATTGTTGGATTACTAGTGAAATGTAGGATTAGAAAACTATTATCAACGTTCAACCTTCAGCGATTCCAATTCGAAAGAAACAAAAGGCTTATACTTCAACAACCCTTTGTAGTTTGAATAGCAGCAAAGTTTGAACTTTTTAAAGCCTTTAAGCAAAAACAACAAGACCCAGATGACCAAATTGTCACTTTCTTCCACATTCCATCAATTCTTAGAAACCAAGAAAAATGAAAAGAGCCCAGTCCCATAAACATGGAAATAAACAAAAGGATCAACAGAATCTTGGATATAATAAAGTGAGAAAGAGAAAAGTAGTACCCTTATGCATAAACTGCGTTCCGTATGAGAAGTTAGAGAATTCTGAAAAGAAGTGTGTAGATTTGAAGAGAAAGCTAGCGGTGGTAGAGAGACAAAATCGCCGCTTCAGTCGATGATTTAGATACTACCATTTTTCTGGAAAAAAAAAAAAAAAAAAACTCGTCCTTACATGAAGAAAAGTAAAACATAAATCGCACTAGTATAGATTTATTTATTTATGAGGGCTCTTTCTGCAAATAATTGTCTAAGTGTCAAAAAGCAACGACATTTTCCTGCAATTTATTTATAAAACCAACCAAGTTTCTCATACCAAATTTTCTTGATTTTGCCGTCTCATGTAAAACCAATTTTTTTTTTATTATATGATTTATTAGATAACTTGGTTCATATTTGAATAAATAAAAAAAATAAAATAAAACATAAAATAAAAGGAAAAGAAAAGTCACCCAAAACGATGAAAAATGAAGACCAAATGGTAATATTTGATCTTTCAAGTAAATATAAAAAATTATCTTACTAAAAGAAATAATAATAATTCTATAAAATAGAGAAACTTAATTTATGACAGAATTTAAAATACATCACATAAAAAAGATAATGAGATTATCACTTATCTTTATTTGAATGTCAATCAATATTAATAACAAAAAAAAGAAAGAAAAAAGAAAAGTCACACAAAAAACTGAAAAATGATAACATTTGACATTTCAATTACATGTCAAAAAGTCAATTTACCCAAAAAAAAAAAAAATTACTCTACAAATTAAACACAAATATAATTAATGACACATCTTAAAAGTACACCACATAAAAAAGATAGATTATAAAATATCTCAATCCAAATATGTAATGACATTCTATAAAAATGAAAAAGATAAAGTCACTATATATCCTTAAAAAATCCAAATTAAGAACAGGAATATAGAATCATTAGAATGAAAAGATTGTTTCTCTTTTATTTATTTTGTCAAAATATAGGTTACAAAAAAAACAAATATTAAAGCGGACTTGAAAGGAAAGGAAGCATGAAAATGATGTACTTACGTTCAAGGGATTAATAACAATATACCATGACTGTGTAACAACAAGAATGTCACTCAACCTTCATCCAAAAAAATAAAAGAAAAAGGTACAGTAACCACAAGGAATCCAAGCCCATTCTGAAAAGTAGAGTAAACGACTGGCTGATTGGCCGAGTGTTGGTTGGATGGTAGCTAGGAACCACATATTATCGTTGACTTATCCTCTTCGGCTCTCTATGGTCTCCTGGCTTGCTGATTATCGATCTTCAGATTGGTTAACTTGTTCGCCGGAGAAAGATCTTCTGTGGCTTTAGTGTGATAGAGCTTTGCAAGAAACAATTCAGGTGAGTAATTATCACCCTTTAAAAACAATATTAGATTGTTTTTCTTCAATGTAGTTACATGTACATGATTAATCTGCAGTCTGAACTCTTCTGATCTTCAACTCCTGTTCTGTGTTTCTTTCAAGTTTCTGAAATCTGAAAAGTAAGGGTTAATGTTTGTTTACCCTTCCTTGCATCTGTGTGTTGAATTTCAACTTCGATCTCCATTGTCCTCTGTACTTCAAAAAAAAAAAACACTCTTAACTTGAATTACTTGTTTGTATTTTTGTTTTATATTTACAGGTGGTGAGATTGGTCAACTTGTTCTCTGGAGAAAGATCTTCTGTGGCTTTAGTGTGATAGAGCTTTGTAAGAAACAATTCAGGTGAGTAATTATCACCCTTTAAAAACAATGTTACAGTTCTAGATTATTTTTATTCAATGTAGTTCACACGTAAATGATTAATCAGGAGTTTGAACTCTTCTGATCTTCAACTCCTGTTCTGTGTTTCTTTCAAAGTGTCTCAACTCTGAAAAATGAGGGTGTAATGTTTGTTTACCCTTCATCGCTTTGGCCCACGTGCTTTCTGTTGGGAGCTTGCTGCTTATAGTTCTGTTGCTGTCTACATGTGTGTTTCACGTACAAACTTCCTGAAATAATAGCTTTCTCAAGAAACCAAAAAAAAAAAAAAAAATTTGCGTATCAGATTGGGGAGTATAGAAGTTTCTAACAACATAATAAAAAGTATTCTATCAGCAGATTTGGCTTGAAGGAAAGGGCAAAAATCCTGCTCCTGCCCCTATATTTTTCGGCCCCACCCGACCTAGATCCTTGATATAGCCTCTCTGAGGCTGAGCTAGGGTCCATAAATGCCTATGCATATGCAGCTATGTTCATCATCTATCGTTATCAATGTCACCCAAAAGTCCATTTCAAATGAATTTCTTGAATAATATCAAGAATTGATGTGGTGGACTCAACTCAACTCAACTCCTGGATTCCACATTCTAATAATTGTTGTTTTAAGTAAAATATAAAATTGCATTGGCTTATTAAGCAAAAGTTGAAAATGTATTCATTCTCTAAGTGTTAATTTGTGTAAGTTAAATTAGGTTCCAGTCAAGACCCTATTTATTGATGGCAATTGTAGGGTATATGGAGGATAAAGGCTTGAGGATGCATAATAGACATGTAAGTTTTTTTTTTTTTTTTTTTTTTTTTAATGCGTGGCAGTAGCACCTTGAATAATTACATTATACTTCTGTTTTTCGTTTCTTTTTAGAAGAATTGGAAAGTTGATGCATTTCTTTTTTCTTTTTGGGTGATGGAAGCTGAGAAAATTTAATGGGATTGGAAAATTATGTATTGTTAGGCACCAGACTTCATGACGATGATGATGGATGTCCGTAGTAGTGATTAGAGTTAAATTAAGGTGAATTGGACAAATGCACTTTTGTCCATTTTCATTCCAAAAGATGAATGAAGGCATTTTGGCTTGTCGATGCTTGAAGGAGGATATATCTTCTTAATTATAAGAACTTTGCTAACTGTTCTGGTATGCAAGTGAATTAGATTAGCTGCCATTAGCAGATAGGCTTTACGCTAACTTTGTAGTTGTTCCTGTGAATGTGGATGCATTCTGTGTTGAACTGAAAGTTAAACAAACATTTCAAATGCTTTTTTGATTTTTTTTTTTTTTTTTAACTAAACGAAACTGTATTTTTGGAAGTCGGTGATTGTTAGTCTGGTGGCTTTGTCCTCCTCCCACCCACCACCCCCCACCACACACACACACTCTGATTGGTCACCTTTTTCACGAAGATCCAACTTATGGAGCTCGTGGTATCTTAATTAGCTGTAATTTAATTTTGCTGGTGATGAGAGTTTCAATGTGATTATCAAATCTTCATGTTAACTTGAATAGTGGTTTCATTCCTGAAAATGGTTTAAGTTTTTAGAAATTAATATAAATTATATCCTGGAACATCACCTATCAGTTTAAGTTTTTAGGTGAGATAGTCTTTTAATATTGTATCAGAGTTTGATTGATCAAAAGGCCCCGAGTTCAACTCTCACTATCTCCAATTTCTTTTGCACAAAGCAACATGGACCTGTGCAAGTTTTAAGTCTAAATGTTGTGGTTTTCCCTTGAGGTGGTGTGTTAGAGACTACTATAAATTATATTTTGGGACCTCACCTATCAGTTTAAACTTTTAAGTGAGATGATCCTTTAATAGACACTCTATCAGTTTACAACAAGAAAGAAATGTCTAATGGAATGAATAGGGGTGACCACTCTTTGTTTTCAGTTTGTCAAATTCTAAATGAAGACACTATCATTAGTATCTGCCTTAGGAATGTGCAGACCAGTCTTTGCTTTCAGTTCTCAAATTCTAAATGAAGACACTATCATTAGTATCTGCCTTAGGAATATGCAGAAACAAGATCTTTCTGATTACAACATTCTTAATCTTTTGCACTTCATTAGTTGCTGAATTTGTTGTGGCATCATAATTATTTGTAGAAAATGATGATCCTCATGAACTGTTTTCGTTTTCCAGATCGATGGCAGCATTTAACATCCAGGAAGCACTTGCCTGGAAGGAAAAAATTGAGTTTGTAATTGATCAGGTCTGTATTCTTCAGAATCTGTAAAATGTCTTTGCTTTTTCTTCTTTTGGGTTTTAGATTAATTCACGGATAAATGTAGGTGTTACTCTTTTTTTTTTTTTTTTTTTGAAGTATTAGCTCCATTTACGATGCCTTAGATCATCTATATTATTTAAAATATCCTTGGTCAGCCATAAAAAGTTCAGTTGATGCTTCATTGAACATTTTCAGTTTCTATACATTGAGCAACTTTTTTTCTTTGGTTTTTTCTTTTACTTTTGTCCACCAATTTATGTTTTATTATTATTGTTGTTGTTTTTGTTATTGAATTGAGTGTGAAAATTATGAAAAATCAATCATTATTGTTTTCTATACAAGCTGAAGATTATGTACTATATACGATATATTTTTAGATTTTAAAATAAATAAATAAATTATTTTATATTAATTGATATCTTCAATTTGCTTTTTTTATAAAAATTCTCATCAATTTAATTTTTTATTCTTTTTTATGTAATTTTATTTATTAATAAATATAATTTATTTTCTCTATTTATGGATTTTTTAATAAGATTTTTTGTAGCTATTTTTATTTGCTTGATTCTTATATAATCAAATTTTAAAAATAGAATTTATGTGTTTATTTTCTTATTTTTTATATAATAAAATTTTATCAAAATTAATGTTGTAATTTTTTTTACTTTATTATATTTTTTACGAATTAAAATTTTTTAAAAATATTTTTTGGTTTATACCATATGTTATGACCTAGTGAGTATGGTTATGGTATGTAAAATATGGTAATATTAAAGTCATTGGTTTTATCAAAAATCAACTATACATCTACAAACACAATGCTCATCATTTGTTATTGTTCTTTTAATATTTTAAAATTATTTTCTTTTAAATAAAATAATTAAAATAATATTTTCGAAGAACTACTAAATAATCCAACTATATTTTTTATACTAATATTATTCATTATTTTGTAAATAAATATATATAAATCAAATATACATATATTTTTTTATAAAAAAAAAAAAAAAAAACTCTTCTCATCAGTAGAATAATATTCATTTGATAAATTTTTATGTAAGTTTTTATATTAATTGTTATTTTATTTTCTCTATACAACGTTAAGAAAAAAATATTAAGATGTTTTTTAAAATTTTATATTAAATTTAGTTTGTTATGGGTTTTTATATAAGAATAAATACATAAAAACGAAAAATTATTTTTTTTTAACTATAAAATTTATTCAAAACATAAAAAAAAAAAAAAAAATTAATAATAAAGTATAAAATTTTGATTAAAAAAGATAAAATTTCATTGAATCTAATATATTTTAGTTGATCGATAATATAATATATGTTATTGAACTGAAATGAATATATTTAATTCAGGTTCGACTAGTAATTATTGAAAAACATTTAAAATAGTCCTGAGATTAGGAACCATCAATTCTTGATCAAACCCATTTTAATCTAGATAGAGGGGGCCTAAGTGCATGCAGGAAGCAGAACAAGGCCGAAACTATAGCCCAGCCCAATTTCCAAATGCCGCCAGCATACCATAGGCAGCATATATATTCTCCTTAACTTGATGCAGGTAATGTTTTTGCTTACCGTGAAGCCATTAGGAATAAATTAAAAATTAGTTCTTAATAATATCAAATATCCTTTAATATTGTTTTGAAAAAAGATAGTTAAGTTGAAGCAAACGTGTGTGTATATATATATATAATCTCATCAATCTTTTATTTTCATTTTTACTTATTTTTCTATTTCTTAAAACAAAAAAAATCAAAATAAGAAGTACAAAACAAATACGTAAATCTTTCTATTTTTAGAAAGTAGTTAATTAATTCTAATATTTGAAATATTTTTGTAACTTAATTCTTTTCATCAATCTCATATTCTTTTCTAATTTTTTTTATTAAACAAAAAAAAAAAAACAGAGAGAGAGAGAGAGAGAGAGATAGATGATATGAAAAAATTGATGAGGAAAAAATATTTTTTTTGAAATAAATTAATATTAAATTAAGTATAGCGAACGTTGATAAAATGTACTAATTAATTAGTTTTTAAAATAAGGAGAAATATTTAATTTTTTTTGTAAAATTAGAGAGACTAATTTATAATTTAAAATAAATTAATATTAAATTAAGTATAACGAACACCGATAATTAGTTTTTAAATTAAGTCATTAGCATAGTTCATGCCTAAAAAAAGAAAAAGAATCTCCCTTTAGGCTTCATTGTTAAATCAAATTTGAAAGTAAGAAATGTCTGCTTTTTCCTTTATGGATAAATCATATATGCCTTGAGTGTGATATGGGGATAGTCATAGGCAAATTACTTTTAGATGCTAGCTCGAGTTTGATCCTTGGAAGAGGCAGCAAGGGTCTTTCATTCAGTTAATTATTTTCTCCTCTTCAAGTCTTTTCTTCTCTCTCATTTCCCTGATCATCATTTAAAAAAAGACACCAAAAAAAAAAAAAAAAAAAAACCCAAAGCATAGAGAGTCTTTCATTCAATTAATTATTTTCTCCTTTTCAAGTCTTTTCTTCTCTCTCTCTCTCTCTTCATCATTTAAAAAACGCACAAAAAAAAAATAATAATAATAATAAATAAAAATCTAGAGAGATCATATCTAAAGTTGCATGCATAACTCCTTAGATTAATATATTTGTGGTTGGAATCTATCGATAATGAGGTGGTATCATCTGTAGGGGCGTTCAAGTGATCGTGATCCTTTTTTCATTCATAGTCATTCATTTTTATCTCTATTATAAGGTATGTGTTTTTACTAATTATTGTTTTATTTATTACTGTCTTTACATTAAGCATATTGCCTTAATATTTATTATGTGTTAATGCATGAACTTTGCATGTATGATCCATGAAGAAAGAAAGTGAATTTTTTTTTAAATATTTTATTACCCATTTTTTTCTACTAGCCTTGGCTACAAAAATCACTTAAGCTATATTCATGTCTATCTATAAATTTATGAATATTGATCAAATACTGATTATTAATTAAAAATATGTTGGCATTTTTATTAGCTAATTAGAAAAAAAAATTCTTAATAAGAGAATAATTAAATTAATATTTTGATTTTGCTAGCTAACATTTTGAACGTAATTTTACCTTGTATTTGGTAGCTAGGATGTAAAGGCCTTAAATTTACTAGAGTAAGATTTCTTTGTGTTGGTAAATTGAAGTAGCTAGGGCAGTAGACTACTAACATAGCTCCTGTAAAAGCTCCCATTCAAGTTTTAACCTTGTTTTCTTTTATAATGAAAATGAAGTACAGTCTAACTAGAGTGCTTGGATTTAATAGTGCATTGGCTAGCTTTCACCATCATAATTTGATCTTGATAAATTTTCTTTTGTTTGTTTTATTGGAAAGTCTAAATCAATATCACGATATTAAATAAATAATAAGTATGTGAATTTCGTATTGGATCTTGTAAATAATTAATCAAAAACATTTAAAATAGTCCTGAGATTAGGAAGCCCATTTAAAACAAAATAAAGAAGCCCAATTGCAGGAAGCAGAACAAGTCCGCATCTATAGCCCAGCCCAATTACCAAATGCCCGCAGCACAGCATAGCCACTTTGCTATTTCTTTGGTTAAGATGTTGATTTTTTTAAAAAAAATGCATGCCTGGTTTTTTTGAAATGTTGATTTCTTATGTGCCTTAAATTGGTTTTGTTCACGATGCTCGTAATGTTTTAGCTTACCCAAGAAGCCATTAGGAGTAAATTAACCATTCTCTCTATTTTACAAAGCAAATTAAATAGTCTTTTCAATTTCAAAAACAAATTAATTAATTTATATGTTTTTAAATATATTTGTAATTTAATTTTTTTTTCTATTTCATATTTTTTATTTTGTTTTGTTTTTAAGGAGAAGTAGATAATATAGAAAAATTGATGATCAAAAAATATATTTTTTGAAACAAATTAATATTAAATTAAGTACAATGAACACTAATGAATGTAATTATTAATTAGTTTTTAAAATTAGAAGAACTATTTAATTTGCTTTGTAAAACTAGAGAGACTAATTTATAATTTACTCCGTGATTAGCCTAGTTCATGCATCAAAAGAAGAAAAAAAGTAGAAAAAATAGGTATCAGTCTTTAGCCTTCATGATAAACCAAATTTGAAGTAAGGAATATCTCTTTTTCCTTATGGATAAATCATATGCCTTGAGTGTGATATAGGGATAGTCATAGGCAAATTGCTTTTAGATGCTAGCTCGAGTTTGATCCTTAGACGTGGTAGAGAGTCTTCCATTCAATTCATTATTTTGTTCTTTTCAAGTCTTTGTTTCTCTTTTTCCGCCTGTTTATTTAAGGAAAAAAAAAATAAAACAAAATCTTGAGAAACCATAGCTAAAGTTGCATGCATAACTCCTTAGATTAATTATATTTGTGGTTGGAAGCTATCAATAGATAGGTGGTATCATCTATGTAGGCATTCAAGTGATCGTGAATCTTCTTCCATTCATAGTCCTTCATTTATGTCTCTGCTATAAGGTGTGTGCCTCTAGTAATTATTATTTTATTTGTTATTGTCTTTTTATCAAGTATATTGCCTTAGTATATATTATGTGTTAATGCATGAACTTTGCAAGTATGATCCATGAAAAAAGAAAGTGAAATATTGTTTTATTTAGTTCCATTTTCTTCTACTAGACTGCTAAAAAAAATCACTCAATCTATATATATAATTGTGAATACTGATCAAATACCCACAATTGAAATTATATTGGCGTTTTTATTGGTTAATCAGAAAAAAATAATTTTAAAATTTTCTTAATAAGAGATATAATTAAATTAACTAAGATTTTGATCTTGCTAGCTAGCTAACGTTTATTTGGTACTGATGTAAAGGCCTTAAATTTACAAGAGTAAGATTTCTTTGTGTTTGGTGAATTAAAGTAGGGCAGTAGACTACTATTAGTATCCTTTTCGTTTCATATCATTCATAACTTTTCTTTTTCTTTGTTTTATTGGAAAGTCTAAAGATTCATGGAGTAAGGAATTACGATGGACCTTCCTATTATGGTGATCCATCGAACTTAAATCAGCTTCATTAGATAAAACTTTTGTGTAAATAATTGTTTAGCTAAGCATGATTAATTTATGAGAAATGATGACTAAAGAATTTGTAGTTTAATGACAATGATCTCTTACAAGAGGTTATGGGTTTAAATCTTAGTAGACTAGTTCTGCTAAGAGCCTTAAAAAAATTATGAGAAATGATTTTTTTTTTTATTTGATATGAGAAATAAATTTTTTATGGATTCCTAATTGACGCGGACTAGAGAATTGGATTTTGTGACAGTACATAAATGATAGCACAAGAGTCCTGACCATAAAATAAAAAACAACCAAATAATTTAATGAAATGTTCTAAAATACTATAATATGTTCAGTATACATACAAAACACACTTTAATATCTTTTTTCTTAACACAAATCAGAACTAATTCAATAAAATTTGAAAATAATATTTTTTTATTGGGTAGGCACTAGGCATAAGTTATTCTCCTCAAGATGCAACTTATTTATTTATTTTTAAAATTGCATGGCTGGTTTGAAAGGCTGATTTCTTACGTGCCTTAAATTGGTTTTGTACATGCTGGTAATGTTTTGCCTTACCAACGAAGCCTTTAGCCCTTTAGCCTAGCCCATACAAGGAAAAAAAATATTGAAGGCAAATCAAACTTGAAGCGAGGAATTTCTCTTTAGCCTTTATGGGCTCATCGTATTCGTTGAGTGTGGGATACAGGGATAGTCAAATACAAATGACTTTTGTCGCTACTCAACGTTAAACGAGACTTTTAAAAAATTAAATAAAATCTAAGTGTTATTATTATTTATGGATTTATTTATAAATTCAGAGTCATTATTTAGTATTAAGGAACTAGAAATCTAAAAGTAACACTCGGTTCGGAGATCCTAGGCAAGGAGTTGGTTACACTTTGGAAGATACATAATTATCCAAAATTGTCATTTTCAAAAAAGGTATCATGTATGGTTTAATTCTAAATTCATCTCCTAAAATATTTCATTTATGTCAAATTATTTTTTGATTTTTTAATTCCTACTTTTTTTTAAAGCTAAATTGAATTTTTTAGTTTTGGGTGCAACATCATATTGAAACGATCGTCGGACGACACGTCGGTACAAACATCGGATTCACTTTAAGCCTTGACACAACCGGCATGTCGGAGGACATCCTAATTAAACGATGGTTTTTGATGACGTCAATCCCTATCGGATAGGAAACTTCATCAAAAATTTTAGATATTTTTCTATCAAACTTCATTGAGAATTATTTTTATTATTTTTTATCAAACAACAATCCCTATGAGATAGGAGACTTCATTGAAAATTATTTATTTAAATAAATATCTAACCTAATGACTAATGTAAATTCAAAAATTCAAAAAATAAAAAAAATAAAGAAAGAAAAGTTTAAAACATTGAATATAAATTCAAAACAAAAATACAACAAGAAATAAAATTAATTAGGTTATGAAAAAATAAAATTCAAAATATTAAAGGAAATCATTTTGGG